ACAGGGTACTGCGATTAAGCTTCTTGCAAAGAGAAGTAACCTATTTTGAAATTAAAATAATTGTTCACTCGCTAGTAGTTTACCATCACCGTCTGAGACACATTTGTAGTGTTGAAATATAATAGTAATTGTTTAGCGATTTTCATATGTTTTTCTTATATATATATATATATATATATATATATATATATATATATATATATACATGGATAATCCCAACGATGGTAAAATCCTGAGGGCTCAATGATAAGTCAGAGAGAATAATTTAATTTAAAGAAAACAGGCAAATTGAAGGCTCCATTTATTTCACCAGAGAATTTTATTTTTCTCTGGATCTTCAAACTTTCCTACATAAGATTGATTTAAATGCCTCAATACAAGAGCAACAGTACTTTCATTCAATTTGACATCGTGGACTGCTATCCATTCATATCCAAAACTCTTTTCAAAATGGCTTTGGAGTTTGCCGAACTTTTATCCAATATCTCCAAAGATGAAATCGCCATCATCCTAAATTGCAAAAAATCAATAATAATCCACAACAACGAGAAAGGGATAAAGAACTCGAATGAAAACTTTGATGTATCTATGGGATCTCTGGATTCTGCTAGGTTATCTGATTTAGTCGGACTATTTATTTTGTACAATCTCACTGCGCATAATGAAATTAGCTTAATTAATGTATGGATTTCAGAGACGATGGCCTGATGGTAATAATTAATTCTAAGCGAAGTAACTTATACGAGGAACTTGATTCATAGAGTGTTTAAATCTTTACACCTCAAAGTTAAAAATTTTCTGACATTGAACAAGTGGATTTCTTAAATGTAACCTTAAACTTAGCCCTTAATAATTTCCAAATTTCCTTAAAAAATAACACTAACACCATTTATATAAATCCTACTTCCAGTTACCTACCGCCGGTTATTAAGCATATCCCATCATCCGTTGAACGTCGTATCAACCAGTACTCTTCTACAAAAGAAATATTCCAAAAACACCAAATTGTTTCTAACAAAATTAATACTGACAGCGGCTACAAATCTTTCGAAATTAAATATAGGGAAAATTATAGCTACTCTAGAAAGAACAATAGACGAAGGAAAATAATTTGGTATACACCTCCCTTCAACAAATTAGTTCATACCAAATTGGGACACACATTTTTAAATCTAATTAACAAACATTTTCCTACAAATAGTAAATTAAGTCAAATCTTCAACCGCAATACCTTAAAAATTAGTTATAGCTGTTCTAGAAATCTAGATAAAATTATTAAACCACACAATAGAATACTGAAACTTTATAAGGAGAATAAACGTAACTCAAACAATTCTAATATACTAATTCTAATATACAAGGCCCTGATCAATGTCCAATATCAAACAGGTGCCTAACGAAATCCATTGTATATATGTGCTATATCTCATAAAATGAGAACCGCTGGGATATTAAATTGTAGTTGGGATCCACTAGGAGATCTTTTAAGCATCGGTATTACAATCACATATTCTCTTTTACTAATACAAGCAAACGCAATATGACATCTCTTTCTAAATACTTTTGGAAATCGAAGGAGGAAGGAAAAACACCTATAGTTAAGTGGAAAATCCTAAAACAAGCCAGAACTTGCAAATCTTTGAACAAACCTTGTTTTTTATGTTTTTTATGAAAATATGTATTATGAAACTTTGGAACAACAGCTATTTATTAAATCAAAGATTTGAAACCACCTTTTTTTGTAGGCATATTACAGATCTAACATTACAATCTTGCTAAACTTTCAGATCCATAACCCTAAACGTTTAAAATTATAACTCACCTCTTTTGATATATACTTTTCTACTAACGTATCTTTGATTATGATCCTTAAAAAGCCATTTTGTGCATATCTAATACTAGTAATAGTATCAGATTAATTAATTTACATCCATACTTATTCTACAAGTTATACGGTCCCACAATCAAAATTTGCTTATAAAAGTTATATTAATATCCCATACTTTTATATACTTTTCTACTTATATCTTAATTTCTGAATAACTCCAGCCTAAATATCGGCAATTCAGGTCTGGCTTTGTTTTAAAGTTACCAAAAATATTTCTAATTACTACTATAACCATCGTTTTTACTCCCTCCTTCCTCTTTTATCGTCTTACTCTCTCCTATACTCACTTTTCCTTCCGCAACCCTCACTCTTAGGAGGCTTAATAATGTTGTGCCTAAACACTTGACCGCTGTTGTCGAAAAAGGTTTTTTCGGACCGAGTAATGACTTTAATATCTCAACAATCCTTGACCAAACTGCAATCTACAAGCGCTATTATTTGCACTCTGTCACCCTTTCCTATCCTTTCATCATCTTTATACGTCCCCTATTAAAATATACTTTCTTTTTCTAAACAAATGGAAAAAAAGGAATTGACGTTCACTTGCTTAAAAACAGAATTGTTTATAATCATTTTAGTTTTCACCAGTGGATGTGCAACTAAATGCACCGAAACGAAGTTGCATCTTTGTAGTAAGTACATTGTTTTATATATATATATACGAAAAATCAACGAAATGCTCTACTTTACGCATTGAGAAATAATTCTTCCATTCCAATAATTGTCTCATCCCGAGTATGAAGATAAAGTACATTCGGAAGTTTGACATTTGATCACGATTTTTGTTTTTTTATGAGCCTAGAACCACTTCATATTTGCTGTAGTTCACCGGTCCACCATGGCCCTGGATGGCAGTACCAGTTAGAGTCCCGGATTGGGCTAATAGGGAACCCCCAAACTGAGGTCAAAACATGAAAATAGAAAAACACATAAGAAAAAAAAAACTGCCATTAATAATTTTCATCGTAAAAAAAAAATATTAAAAAATACCAGTAATACATTTTTGGGAAAAAACACCAGCTGTACATTTAAAATTACTAAAAGAAATATAATTTTAGCAATAACGACCCATCAGGTGTTGTTATGCCGTTAAACAAACCAAAGCAAAATAATAATTGTCTGGGCCTCCCATTTCTTCCCGCCAAAATGGATTGCTTTCATCATCACAAAATTTGCTGATAGACCGGCACTTGTAAAAGTCGGTATTTGCCTTTAGGCTTTGGCAAATATTAACATATCCTCGCTGAAATTGTCTGCACTGAAGTTGCCGCTAAAATAATCAAACCCAGCAACATTTAAGAGTCATTAAATCTTGTTTTACACGTCTGTGCATATTGATTTAAACTTTTTTTTATATCACGTGTTTTTATTGTTTTTTTTCTGAAACATAAAAATGTTTTTACTGACCAATTTGTATCGGATTTTAAGGGATTTTTATTATTTTTCTCCAAAGTTGGCAGTTTACCACCGAAATGAATAAGAATGTCAGCCATGCAACGTGGAAAATATTATGTGAAAAAAAAATATCTGTGCTATAAGAATTATATGAATAAAAGTAACATGTTCATTCTTTTCATTTCAGTTTTTGCAGATCAAGTTCTAAAGAATTTCCAGCGAATGAGAAATTAATCCGCGTCCGGCAAGATGTCCCCCAAAATATATTTTGTATGTAGATGTCCCATATGTAGACGCCCCATATGAAGATGTCCCATATGAATTTGATCACATAAAGATATAAAACATGGAAATGTTACATGAAGATATTCAGTATGAAGATAATTAAATTTACAACCAAAGAATCGTGAGGTTAAAATGCAATAAAATTCAGATGAGAAATCTTGTTAAAATAATGAATAATAATTGGTAATCCTTACAAAATATTGCAAGAGCTACCGCACACTATTTACATTATTCGGATTATTGTCCTCATCTTTGTGGCCATATTTATTACAACGTTTCGGCCGTAGTAGGCTCCGGCCTTAACCGCACATTGGATAAAGGCGTTGGTTAGATCCAGTGACAGGACCCAAAGAGTGTGAGTTCAATAGCCGGTTAAGGCAGTGGAGAACTTTCAGAGGGAAATCAAAATGAGATAACAGATAACTGGCATCCATTAAACATGGCACGTAGAACTATGACACAGTGAACGAAATAAAGGGTTAAGTTCGACATTCCAACCACCCGAAGAAGTCCGAATAATGTAAATAGTGTACATAATACCTCATCTCAGAAATATAGACAGATACTGAAAGGCCGAAACGTTGTAATAAATATGGCCACAAAGATGAGGACAATAGTCCGAATAATGTAAATAGTGTACATAATAATTTATCTCAGAAATATAGACAGATACTGAAGAGCTATCGCGTTAGCTGCTTAAGCTTCTTCTCCGTATATATCCATTGTACATATTTCAACTGGAGATTAAATTTACTTTTTTATTTCTATTTCGTAAAATTGTTTCTTCCCACAGATACCTTTTCCTTATTATGAGTCAATCCCCTTGACTTCATATAAAAGTAATGCAGCCGTTTCTATTTCATGACTTGGATTTAGAACTTTCCTTCGCTTAAACTGTCTGCAAAACAAGGCTTAGCCCGGTTGGCCCTGCTATTTATCCTATGGGCTAGAGAGATAAGAAATAGATTCATGTCTTTCCCAATAGTATTAGAGCAGATTTAACCGTACCAGGATATTTATCAACATATATTGATCCATAATGAATCTGCCTTGACAAGAGATAATACGCTGCAAAAATTATTCACGTTCATACATGCACATTATAAAGGCCTTTATAGATTCTGATTTATTTTCCTATGCAGTTAAGGTTATTAATGTTCTTATCTGACCAGATTTCCTGCAAGGCTGCTCTATTGTAAATATCAGTATTTCCTAAATGTTGTTGTATATTCGACTGAAATTGGAAATGGTCAATTCAAAATAAATATAATTTTATTAAGTAAAAAGCGGAGAAGTGAAAAGAATATGGAAATAAACATAATTATATGGCGACGACGAAGGAAAATAAAAACAAACGAAAGAGGAAAAGAGAAATAAATTAATATGGTATTTTGTTTGATAAAGCAAACGTAAAAGGAGTTTCAGAGAAAAGCTGATGAGATAAATCTTCTTTTCTTCATTTTTTTATCTTTTTCTTATCTTCTTCCTTTTCTAATACTTCTATCATTTCTTCTTCTGTTTCTTTTTCTTTTCTTTTCTTCTATTTCCTCTTCTATTAATTCTTCTATTTCTTCTGTTATTCCTTTTATTCTTCTTCTATTACATGTTTTTTTATTTCTTTTTCTACTTCTTCTTCGTCTATTACTTGTTCTTCTATTAATCCTTCTTCTTCTTCTTCTTCTTCTTCTTGTATTTCTTCTATTAATTCTACTATTGCGTCTTTTCTAACTTCTTCCTTCATTACTCTTTATTCTTCTATTACTTGTTTTCTATTTCTCCTTCTATTGCTTCTTCTATTTCTTTATCTTTTACTTCTTCTATTAATTCTTCTATTAATTCTTCTTCTATTAATTCCATTTCTTCTTTTACTACGTCTATGACTTCTTCTATGACTTCTTTTATTTTTTCCTCTATTTCTTTTTGTATTACTTTTTCTTCTATTACTTCTTCTTCGATTAATACTTCTTCAATTTTTTCTTCTTCTATTACTCCTTATATTCCTTCATCTTGTATTAATTCCTCTGTTTCTTAAAAATAATAGAGAAGTAATAGTGCTTCTCTATTACTTCTATTATTTCTCCTATTAATTCTTATTCTTCTTCGATTACTTCCTCTGGTATTTCTTCTTCTATTACTTCTGCTTCTAGTACCTCCTCATCCTCCTGCTCTTCTTCTTCTTCTTCTTCTTCTTCTATTGCTTCTTCTTCTCCTGTTCCTTCTCTTTCTTCTTCTACGCCCGGTTTAAACTCCTCCTCGCTCTTTTGAATCGGAGTGGTGATTCAGTCCTTGTTTCTTATTTAGCACTGTGTTCCCTTTTGCTTCAAATCTACACTTCCACTTCAATTCAATACGTCTAACGTCTTCGTATGAACTCTGAATCTTTTTTTTATTGTAATTATTGTTTTCCTTCTCTTCAATAAGATTCAGATAATTTTGCCTATCGCCCATTTCACACTCTTCCTCGGTATTTTGAACAAAGTGGGGGGGGTATCCCTTGTTTTCTGTTTCGTATTGGGTTTCTGGTTCTTTTTACAATCTTATTATTATCCTTCACTTCCAGTTGCTTCTTTTATCTTAGTGGTGCTTGGGGCGAATTGAAAAGCAATATTTGTCTTTTAAGTATCTTCCCATTCAATCTTCTACCCACTATTTACACAAATGCATTTTTTTTAATTATTACTTTTTTGTATATCCTGTGAATATCAACTTGTCAAAGCCCCCTTATTTTTCATTTGAACTCTTTTTATTCCAAGTTCAATTATTTCTAATTCCTATTTTTCTATTTCATGCCTCGTCTTATCTGTGTAGAAAATGTTCCAATATACTAATGGCATCAATCCATTTATTTTAACGCTCTGTTTGATCTAAATTCAGTCCTTGGGTCGGGAATGACCTCTCCAGGGTGAAAGCCTATGCGATGTTATATGGAGGCCATGCACTATCCAGACAACACGTATCTTCACTCTCTATCATACAGACAAGATCCAATGGAAAACAGAGAATTACATTCAGGACCGGCTCGGCTGTAAAAGTTCCTGGAAGTTTTCCAGTGTTGACAACCAATCACCTTCCAGCATTTCTGATATCAGAAGAAGTTCAACACCAATTTATTTTCTTCTAAAGAAATTTTGTTGTTTCTTAATTATTTGCTGAGGTTTTTAAAAGGCATCTTCCCATTTCAGTGTCACATATTCCATCGTTTGTTATAACACATCGTAGATAGTTAAATTTCTGTACTTGCATGAGTTTTACGTCTTCAACTCTTATATCCAGCTGGGAACAGCCACTTATTCTCTCTTCTTACAATCGAAGGTTAATCCCCTTGTTATACTGCCTCGTCTCGAAGTTCCAGCTGGTTTCTATCTATGTCTGCCATCAACATGGTATCATCTGCGTATCTTAAATTGTTAAGATTCTGCTCATGAATAATAAATTCAAACAGAGCATCTAATTCTCTGCGGAGGAAAATAACAATACAAATGTCGATATAAAGAATCAACGTAAAATGCAATATTTTTTTTAGTTTATAAGCTTATATTTATAAACTTGAATTTTAGAAAGCTTCAGTTTTGATAAATATATATTAAGAAAATGCAGTTTCTTAAGAAAGGGATGAATTTTTTATACACTCTTGTGCAAATTAAATTGAATCAAATCAAATAATTCCGTTATTATTTACTTTTTTTCATATTTTTTTTGCAATGAAACGTCTCCAGTGTACATGTTAGTACTTCGTATGTCCATTCCACGAAGTCGTTCCTTGTAGACTGACAATAAATTCTCGATTGGATTTAAATCAGGAGAGTCTCATGGCCAGTCTATAGTACCTTGATTTGCTTACTGGTAAGGCTTGACAGACTGTTCGTGCAACCTTATAATTTTAGTACGCTACCTTGGATTAACGTTCATCTCAGAAAATGGTTGTAGAACAACTAATCGACATTTCAGAAAATAGTGTCTATGTGTGATAAAAAATCTGATGCAATCACGGATGACGCAATATTTTTGAAAGCCAAACAAATTTCATCATACACCCCGAAAATAGATTCATGTTATTGCACACCACTGCAAATGATCTAATCTGAGGAAAAAATACAAATTAATTACACCAATGGGACTAAAACTGAGCGTATAGGTAATGAAAGGAAACTAAAGTGGTCTTTTTCAATTAATTTGTACAAGGTTGTATATTTATTTAATTTCGTCTCCCGTCCTGAAAACTGTATGAATTTAATTAGAGAGAAAGCTGCGCTTTCAGGCTTGCATTCCCCGTCATAAGATCTAATGTGTATTGGGCCTCTCGTCGATGAACAAAAAAAGTTGAATAGTGCTAGAGAGTAAAAGAGTTAAGCAACAACTCTAATGTCATTGACGCGCTGAGAAAACCAATAATTATGTAATTATCAACCGACAAGTTTAGAACAAAAAAAATTACAATCTATCCTCGATGAGGCAATAAAATTCTCTAAATAAGGGAAAAATCCATCAGATTCAGTAATTTATTTTTTTTATCCCGTAACCCATAGGACAATATTTGCACCATATGTACTGCATCCACAGTAGAAGTTGTTTTTCTTGAGCAATATAGCCTGACGGAGCCCAACCCTCACCGGGCCGGTTTCTATCCGTCTCCTAGACCAGTAGAACCAGGTCTGTCCTGCTATTTACACATACCATGGAGGAAAGAAGAGGTTTCATACCTTTCTAAAGTATATTAGAATGTAAATGAATGCAGTGGATCCAACTAGATTTAGAACTCAGCACCCCGATAACTCAATCCGAGTCGTTATCCATTACTTCACAGTGTCTCCTCCTCAGATTTCAGTATTTCAGTTTCAGTTTTCTCTTGAATGGGATCGTCTCTAGTTTGGAGGTAGCAATTCAGGCCGGTATTCAAGGATTTTTGCAGATTCATTAAAAAGTACGCAAATAAACTTATCACAGTGACGAACGCTGAGTTAATAGTTTAAAAATCAACAAAATTGTCGGTGATTTTCAAACAGGCTATATATATGATAATGTAAAAACCCATAAACAAGGTTTTCTTTCCGATATATCAGAAATACCTACACCAGTATACGAACCCTCAAAAACCGTAAATCACATAATTTATTTGTACACACCCAACAATTACAGCATTACATCAACAAATGAATTTCTCCATATCTTAAAAGTAAGAATTCCCATCGGTAAAAATCTAGCTTTGCTTGATGTTCAAAAGTTCCTGTTGGAGAAATAATCAACATAATTATCGACTTTGTCTACAAACACAATTTAATCCCTCCTCCTAAAATCCGACCATGAATTCTTCGGATACTAATCTTCGCTTGTACCACAAAAGCTTCATTTTTTTTATCATAATGGCAACACCTACATCCAAACTAATTGTGTCAGTATGGGAGACCCTTTAGGTCCTGCTTTCTCTAATATTTACATGTCTTATACTGAAAACAAAGTGGTAAAAATAACAGGTAATTTAAAAATCTGCAAAAGATACGTCGATGACATTTTTGTTTTGATAAAATATAAGGACAAATCTATAAATTTGAAATTAATTTTTGGAAAAAAATCAACGCAATAAATTTACATATGAACTCATTGTTAATAAAATCTCAATCCATTGATGTTGATATAGAACTAAAATCCAAATTTACCAATTACCTTTATAAAAAAAACACCAGTACGAACTCTTGTATTAAAAACTATATTAGCCAATGCCTGAAAAGATATGAAATAGAAATGATAACAAATTTCTTAAATAGACCAAACCAAAATTCCTTTTCTCACTGAAAATCTTTGAGTGAACTAAAACTCATAAAACAACCATTAGTCAACAATAATTTTTCATTGGTAAACAAACAAAATTTTTCTTACAAAAATACGCGACACCATTTTGTGTGTGTGTGTGTTGTAGGAGTGCTTATTCTGAGCCTTTGTGTGTTGATTGCGGCTGAAATTCACAAAGAATATTTCTGAATGAACTAAAACACATAAAACAAACATTAGTCAACAATAATTTCCCCAACTACATCATTAATAAACAACTAAAATTCAAAACAACACAAAAAATACATCTTAAAAGTCAAAACATGAAGACAAAGTAACAACAGATGAAGGATGACAGCACCTTATCAAGGATAATTTTATTTCTGAACTGGATATATGGGTTTTGTGTATGTATGTAAAGTTATAATGATGTTTTATTTTACGAACACAGTCAGCACTTTGTAGCCATATTCGTCGTTAATATTACTGAGTGTTGGCTTTTTCTTTTTTATTATTAAGGCTTCCATTATTTTTAATCTTTTTTTTTTACATATAGATGAGGTTCTTCTGCTTACAAAAAAATACGCGACGCCAGTAATAATAATATCACCCAAAAAGAAAAACATCAACATATTTTGCTGGAACCAGATACAGAATAAGTATAAAGGTAACGAATTCGCTATTCGAAGAATTATTAAACACCATATTTCTGCTGTAATTCTAAGGAAAACATGTAAAATCTATATATATTACAGGGAACTCAAGAGAGCAAATCTTGTAGTCATTAATCAAAATAACCCCATTAAATCTATACTGGTGATGGCCAATATAGTCTATCAATTTCAATATATACCAAACGTCAAATTTGGACAGTGTCAAACAATGTCCAAGTATGATGGCTGCCGTTAATAGACCTTTGTAGAGAGGATTCAGTATGGTGTCTGCATTCAGATACCCCCTAC